CGCTAAACGCAAGTGGTCCGCCGAAAAGTATTTAAAGCGAACCCGACCTCGCTGAGCTTTCTCTTTTGCCTCCCCACATTTTTACTTCTCACGACCTTCATGACAAATGTCCCACACACACACACACACACAGGTCCACAGAACTCACACAGCACTCCTGACCTCTTTCAGTTGAAAGGAAGTCCCGAAACCTTTTTGCCAATCAAGGGCGGGTCAGCTACGGTAATTTTCGGAGCTAAGGCCGAAGATTTGTGATCCATTCAAAAATATTACCCGCATTCCCCCGAACTACGTTTTTACATGGAATTAAGTTTCATAAAATCAAGGTATTTATCAGATAACGTCTTAGTGACATGTCGTGTTCGACCCGCAGTTTTATTGTATAATTTTTTCTAACCAACGAACCATCATTCGAATAATAATTATTTTTTTTACTTTTCATGAAACAAATCTTTTTGACCTTAACTAGTTGCGCTCTAATAAGCGCAAACTTTTAAATTTTCTATTGTTCGATGCGATTCGTCTGGTAAAAGTAACTGAAACACAAGTAGAAAGAACATACTTTTCCGATCTATTGAAAACGTGAAACTAAGCATTTCCAAAGTAAATTACGTTATATCATTTTCGAGGCACAAAACAGGAGATCTCCGATGGCCATGGTCTATGTTAATTGAAAATTCTACAAAAAATCATTCAATTTGAATTACTCCGTGAATTTTTTGGCGAAGGAATCGTAAGGTATGCGATAGTAGACACTTCATGCAAAAAACTTCTGAAGAAATAAGCTTTGAACATTTTTAAATAATGCACCAAGACAGAAAATTCCCTCTTATATTTGTTTTTAAACTTATAAGGTAGTTATCGGATTATCGTCAAGCAGAAGTTTTCATAAATTTCAAAATTTCCAGAATTTTTCAAATTTTCAGCTGGGATGCATTGTTGAAAAAAAAACATGCGTTTCTCACCAGAGGGGAAACGCCATTATCTTCGCTTTTAGCATTCCTAAATCCTTCTTCCATAAACGGAGAAAAATTGTTGATGCATTATAAACAGTATCTTTATAATTTAGGCGAGAAACAAAGCTTGACAAAAACGAAGACATTAACAACGGTTTTGCAGCATCTGTAGGGCAAAATTTGAAAATGTTGTAAAGCATGTTTGCAAGTTGACTGATGAGCCAGATTTCATTTCCTCGAGAATTCTGTGAATTCTTTTTCAGGACAGATAATTCCTATTCTGCTCAGTATTTAAAAAATGGAATTACAGTATGCAGTACTGTCAAAAAAAAAACTTCAGTCAGCACTCAAAAGGTTATGCATATTTGCAGAAAGACGCAAGAAAGTGAAACTTCCTCCAAAAGTGTGCTTACTTTTCCAGAATGGGTGAAAGTCAGTCGTATAGTATCTTTTCCTTTTAAAAAATGACCCAAAATAAAGCTAGGAACAAACAAATTTTCGAACCACACAGAAAATAAAAATCGACACGTTATTTGAGGATTCTGCTCAGATGTTTTCTGCTGCTTTTTGAGTAGACAGCATTTTTGAAGCAAGTCAAACAAATGACCCAATCAACTATCCAATGAACTATATACCCTGCAGTCAATTAAATTTTAAAAATTGCGTTTTGCAAAAAAAGAAAAAGACCGTGTATAGAGCGAGTTGACAAGCTCGTAATGCATGCGTTGACTCAAAAATTACCTTGACCTGACGAGAGGAATTCCCCTGCGTGAGTCCAAAGAAGAATAACCAGTTATAAATCTGCATTTATTTCTCTCTTCCAGCCTCGAGTGTAACGAAACAAATTCCGGAAAAGAAAAACATTTGAAAAAATAAAACAGAGGGTGCTGCTATATAGTGAGATCACTTCATGAACTGCGACTGAGCCGCGATTATACACCAATGTCTCGTGCCACGCGTGAGGCTTTCTTTTTCGGTGGCACAGGCGGTGGAATCTCGCCAGGACTTCCGTCGACTATATTCTCTTTTTTTCTTCTTCTTCATTTCAATTTCCTCACCTCAAAAAATGTTCGTCCTACACACACACACGTATATACTCGGGGTTTCGTAAACATGACGGGCAAAAAGCGTGACTGACGAGTGCCTCGACAGCATTTCTTGAATCACTCCGCGGTGTCTTCGCCGCTACTCTTTTTCACCGACTCCGCGTATATAAACTCTGCATGACTTTCCCGTATGCTATAGTGCGCCACTGAAAACCGCGCCAAAAAAACGGCGCCACGGCTCGATATCCTGCTGCTGCTGGTGGTTCTCCGTGCTGCGAATAAGGTACCTGTAGCTGAANATTATATAGCGTTGATATAATTTATTTAGTTTTTAATTTTTTGTCTCGGGCGCACATGTTTTGCTGCATGTTTCATTGTAAACTGCGGTGCGATTTTTGTGACAAAAGCGAAAGAAGGAATTTCATTAAATTTCTTATTTCAATTGGCTTCAAGAAAATGTGGCAAAGAGAAGGATGTTCGCAAGTATCCCCGATTGCAAGTTTCATTTGTTTTTGTTTATTTCGTGGCATTGATATTTTCAACTGAATGACGATGAATGTGATTTGTACTGACTGATCTGCGCATTTATCATTCCTCGAACTCCATTCAAATGTTTGCTCCCACAACTTTTTTAAATGAAGAGAATATGCTGATGGTGACGCTGAAAAAATCAATGAAGAAAATAATTACCTTTGTTACACTTGCTGTTTCTGGAAATTCAACAGTAATTTAAATCCTGCGACGTAATATACCATAGAAATTAAATATACAGTTTTTCGTAACGATTTCCCAAAACTGTCGACCATGTTCCAATTAGAATATGCACTGATTCGGGCAGTTTTGTTATTAGCAATGCTGATCACAAACATTGACTAAAACGGAGCTACAATCAAAGAAGCACACGAGCAAAATATGACTTGGCTCGCTAAAATCATTTTTCTCGATTTCTGTTGTGGTTGGGGAGCATTTTGAAAAAGTCTCAACGACTCAAAGAATCCAATTTCAATTAGAAAATGCAAAGAAGTGAAGAATACCAGTCTTTCGATGTTTGCGCATTTCTAAATTATGTTGCTTGTATAGAGGCCAGTTTGATACGGAGAAATCAGCGTCTACTTCATGGATAAAATCAAGACGACAAAAAGGGGAAGAATACGCCTTTAATTTCCAAAAAAAAGGGTCCATCAGGAACAATATGAAGGAGACATCATCACCAGGTTTTTTTTGGGTATTCCGATCCTCGCATCAAACAACTATTTTATACACATCACACGTGCATCACACGTGTAAAGGACCGTTCAAAATAGACTCATTTGAGGTTCAAATATAACCGCAAAGCACATCAACGAATCACCCATAATCGAAATGCCCATTTTCCGCGATTCATCTATATGATAGTCGCCGGAAAAAACTTCACTTTTTCGGAAATAAAAAAGGAAAATAAAAACACGGTACACGTAACACACGAGGTTCAAAATTATATCGAGTTGCTGTAAAGATATGTACACAACTGCTTCTTTCTCAGCAACGAACGTTCAAATTCGGCCAATCTTGAGATATGATTCAATCTTTCCTTTTAGCGTATCTAAAGTCGTCTTCAGGTATTTAAAAGGGGATAAAACGAAGCACACTTACGGAACAGGTACCAACGATCAAGGAACATTCGCGCGCAATGGAGGCACACAAAAAACAACTTTCACTCATTAAAGCGACAATAACAGACGCGATGTTCACAAAAAAAATGCAAACCGCATCATTTGTATCCCTAAAAATTTCATTCGTCGAATCACAGCAAAGTCGTTTCTGTCCATCCAATTTTTGAAAAATTCTGAGCTTTGAAAACAGCACTTTCCTCAAGTCCAACAATCTAGCTCCTCAATCGTCCTCCGGCGCGGAAAGCTGTAGCTGTACCCCCTCCTCCAGGTTTCTTCGTCGAAACTCTGCGAATATGTTATTTGCTACTTTTGGTAGATGTCGTTCACTGCACAACGTCTGTCTCGTCATCTTCTCGGTTCGACACGTTGAGACATTTGATTGAGAATGCGCTCGCAGTCGATGACGTGAAGTGACGTCACGTAAGATCGCACTTCAGCTTCCGATTTTGTCGACGGCGGCGGTGGTATTTCTGCAATTATGAATAAGTACAAATAATTCATTCAAATTCCTCAACTGACAGTGAATTTTTATTTCCAAAGAGGAAATTAAATGCCCCACATCATTTATTGTAGATGCAGTAACATCAATTGAAGGAAATACAGTCGGACCACTTGAAGTCGAATTTCAAGGGACCAGAAAAAATCGAATAAGGGAAAAATCTTTTTTTTTTTTTTTTCGGAAAAGCAAGAACTACGGGAAATCCGAATTGGTGATATTCTGGGCCTTCAATTGCTTTTTTAATAACTTGACAGGATGCTGAAGTTTGAGGCAAGGGTTCATTTTCCCAATTATTTTTTCATTTCCTCTTAAAACACGTCATATTACATTCGTTATTGCTTTTCTCTTTCCTGTGTCAACAAAATAGTAGCGAAAATGCCTCCGAAAAATTAGTTTGATGGGGAAAACTTCGAGTTAGGGAGGTATTTGATGCATAATTGTTTCTAAGGGTATTTAAACAGGGATTTGAAAATAAAAATCGACTTGGGGAATTTCTAGTTATTCAGGTTCACTCAATACGAAATTCAGACTTCTGTTGCTGTGAAGATGAGACAAAATTCCTCAAATGACGGAACCCCGTTTCCCGGGTTATTATTCTCGTCACAGGGACTGATCCTCATCTCCAGGGGTACAGTATTTTCGACTTCCCATTCAGAGTACGTACCCCAGCTCCGGGCTCGACAAGCCCGCATCATCCTTAAACTCTGCGCCAGCAAGTGCATCTTCTCGAAGTTCACCAAGCTGTCAAGGAGGGTCTGGTTGCCTTCGTGCGAGAAAGTCATGTCTGTGGAGGCAGAAGTAACCCGATCAGACGTGTTCGAGGGGAAACCCCCCTTCTTTTCCCCGTCGGGAACTCAAGCAAAAACGCGACAAACAAATGTCCGCGACGAACGAAAATCCCTTCCGGTGTCTGTGACAAATCACGAGGATCGATGCACGAGTTCGCCGGACAAATTTTTTCCAAGTTTTTCTTTTTGTTTTGACTCTTGAGCATTACAAAGATAAACAGAAATGCATTCCTTCCTATGGAATAATGTGTGATCATTCACTTCTTGCTGGTTGACAAGAATCTTAGTCTATTTTTATTGGTCTTCCATTTCCTTTCCCCCCCTCAAAATTATAGCCCAAAGGCAGGAATACATTTGAGGTACTGTACAGCAGCTTTGAAATGAGAACAGTCCGATTCAACTCCCCGAAGAAAATTCAGACAGGATTAGCTCTGATAATTTCGTAAGACTTTCAGCGCCGACAAAAAGGTTGAACGTGATGAAAAAAAAAATTTAAACGATGGTTCATCTTTCGAAAGCACAATTTCAGGACAATTCTCCGAACAGGAGCGAATGTCAGTTATGTTTTTAGTTTTAATTTGAATCCGGACTAGAACTTCGGAAATGAAAATTCTGTTGGAATCCCAGTAGCCCAGAACTCGGAGCCAATTATATTCTCTACGAAAAGAAGGCCTTCATTTCCGTTTCCGGATATCACGACGACGGCGGCGAAGGTTTGCCTTTTTCCTGCTTCCGCTCATTCCGTAGAATTGCGCACTTTTGGGTATCCTTCAACTGTTTCCTCATTTAAAACGAACCCATTCACCTCAAGCATTGGAAACCCTGCTAGGTTCTGATTGTTCGAAACTTTGTCACCGAAACCAACTTCAATAAAAAAATAAATGATCTGAGTTTAAAAAATACATCAGTTCTTATTTCCGCCTATAATCGAAGTTTGTTATACTTTCTCTGTTAGAATATAGGTCTTGTATAAATTTTTCGACGAATCATTTATAGCTCAATATCAGGCCTGTTAGCTGTCTTTTTTCACGTCGGTTAACGCTTTTTTTGGTCTAGCACATACACGAATAGAGTACCGTAAATAGGAATTATTGGTTAACAGACGTAATTAGTTCAAGATAAAAGTTTGTTAACCGAAAAGCAACTTCAATGACGTGTTTGGTAAGCGAGGGCCCACGGAATTTTTCTTTTTCTTCGACGATTCTTTATTTGAAAGATGTGGATGAATGGATTATTTTCAACAATATAGTGTTCGGATATAATTTCCCGACGCATTTTTTACAGTTCTGGATCGCCCACAATAATATTATTAAAGAAGAGAGTTAAAGGTGTACTATATTATTGCGAAATTCTATGATTCACATTCAACAGTGTCCTGAAGTTTTTCTGAATTCCTTGCACCCTATTGGTCAAGGAATTCATCCAAGATTTAGAAAAAAAAAAGTTCAAGCAAGAATGCCTCTATTATATGCAATAAAATCTAAATTTGATAAAATTTGTAAACTTTGCTTGGAACATAAGTTTGGAAACTGAATTTTGGTCAGTTAATTGAGGGATTTCTTTTTTTGTGAGGACAATAGACGTAAGCCACCAAGAAGTTTATCTAGAAGTCGGTGTTCGTCTACTTTACTCCATGAGGGTCCACTGTTAATGTAACTATTGTTTGTATTCAAGGGCTCGTTCGTTCGTTTGCCGGCCCTGTTCCCAAGGGATTGAATGAATTAGACTGGAATGATAAACAGGGACGGACCTTTGAGCAGAATGGGCATGTAGGGAATCACGGGCGGCTTGAGGGTGCCGACGTACATCCGGTACCGGCGGTGGTTCCGCGACGGGTCCGTGAGACCCTCCAGCTCCCCGAAAACTTTCCGGATCCGCGTGGGCAACTTCTCCCAGGTGTGGTTCAGTCGGGAAATGGCCGGGGTTGACAGTCCGCTCACTATGGCCAGGGCCCCGTTCACGTTTCCATATTCCTGGCAGCTGCGATTTTAGAGAAAAAAATATGCAAAATAATGAATGCTTCAATCACGATTATTACAGCCACGATTTCAGAGAAGAAATTAAAACTAATGAATACCTGTTGCAGAAATAAAAGCATTCATGTACATTTAGAAACAAGGCTTTTAAAGTCACTGTTTGCCTACTTAAAAATTAAAATAATGGTGTACTTCATTTCAGCAGATGAAAATTTCGTCTGAAGCATTATTATGGAAAAGGCCTACATTTTTTCCATCGGATACAGTACTGTAATTTCAACAGCCATCGTCTTTCCAACATTTCACCTTGAGATATCACACTTCATTCCTACTTTTGATGCATTTATTATGCAGAAAAAAATTTCCCGCGGACCAGCAACAAAAATCTGCAAACGGGCCAGTCCGCAGACCACATCTTGAGAAACACTGTTTTAGACACTACTTTCAAATAACATATTTAAAAAAAATGACAAAAGAGAGACGCACAGCAAGAAGGTTCAAAAAATTTGTCAATCAGATTTTATCTGGTTGATTGAGATTATTCTGAAAGAGGTATTCAAATGCAAAAAAAAAAAAAACTGAACTGAGCTTTGTATTCGAAGTACAGTGCAGTATCATTTTTAACCATCACGTTCACCAATCTGCTGCTAAATTTTGGTCAATCTGCCTCCTGCGCGAAACACGGGTGACATTGAATTAGAATAAACTTCAAGAAACCCGAAAAAAATCTAAGAAGATCACCATGATGGCTTCGTTTATTTTTCTGATATCAGAAGTACAGTACTGTAGTTTTCTTTAACTCTGAGTGCTTCTTCGTCCATAAAGCCTCGTAGAGCACAATAAATGAGCTTTTTCAGCAGATATACAGCAAAAAAAACGTGTCACACCAAAAGCCAGGAGGAAGGTTCTCTAATGAAGTAAATCGCCCTCTTTAGGTCAGTATACTGAAGCACTTTACTGTACACTAATTTGCTACGATATTTTGTTCGCTGTTACCCATGATCCGGGAAACTGTAGACCCTGCTTCAAAACATTTTTAAATCTTGCAAATCGTACATGAGCACATTACACGCTAAATTATCTTCGAATCCATGGCAATCCCGCGTACCATTTTCCGGGTTCCCATGAACAAACCAGTAGTACAGATAATACTTCCGGTTGAATAACCCTGCATGGGATAGAGGAATGAAGGAAATAAACTGTGCACCCGAGCAAATGCAGAAACTTCAAGAGGGCTTCGTGAAGATCAACTGAAGTTTCCGGGTTTCTTAACATTCCGTTGCCTCGAGGAATGCTTTCAGCAGCGAAGAGACGAGGAAATTTGAATATAAAGTTTGCATTCGGAGAAGCGAATGATGCGGAACACCGGAAATCGCATGAGAATATCCTCTGACAGTTTACCATACTTAACTTCGGTTGAAAAAATTGTAGATATACAGGAGAAAATAACCTCATTTGAAAATATTTAAAAAAAAACGGCGCAAATATTTTACTATCAAGTCTCAAGCAGAAATTATCCCAATCTGATACAGTTTTCCAAAGTCAAAAACGCATGCAAATTACCGAACGTATTTTAAAGATACTGTAAAACAAAAAAGCAAACTCATCAAAGAAGATGGGAAATTCTGCACTGACGTATCATTTTGCAGAATTTTGAGGAGTGAGACAAGCGCAGGTAAATTGCAACTATTTCAGGGAGATTGCAACGAATAAGATAAAAGGTCACAACATTATGGGGTCACGAACTTCAAGTATGGGCTGAGAAGGAAGATTTCTTCCGAGGTAACTTTCAGTGGTTAGGGTTGACTGTATATTTAGACTAGTGTTCGAATATAGAGAAAGGTTTCATTTATTTGAGAGGATCACAGTATAAAAATTCACAGTTGACGAAAACATTTTATTAAAAGGAGAAGTTCTCACAAATAACTTCAAAATTAGCTGGTTGAATTCGAAAACCACATTTTAAAAATAATATTCAGATCTAAGACGAATCAACATTGTTGGATTTCAACAATAATAGATCAATCATGGATAATCGATATTAGAGGAGATCAGAATGTTTTTGCTTGTCTCTCAAAGTTTGACTTCAAGAGGATTAAAGTCAAATTTTTTCTCATGCCCAGCATTTCACAGCTACAGAAATGAGCTTCAAAATGATTCGGGACTTAAAATGCAAAGAAAAGACTCTTTCCAAAATCTCAGAGGACCAAAATAAACTCAACTTTTTAAAATTTCTCATGAAAGATTTTCTCCAAATTGTTCAATCAACTAAAACTTCTCTGGGAGCAGGCTGAACACCTTGTGCTTTTATGTAGGTTCAGTAATTACCTCATGCTGCAATTTTTATTATTGACATTTTGTTTTATTTTCAGGGAGGGGAAGAAAGTGTATGTGTTTACATCAGTTGTGCAATTGTACATTTTGGGATGTATTTTATTTTCTTGTGATATTCATTTACATCTTATTTCTCTATTTTCCATCCTGATGTGATCAAATGTGTTTGGATGAATTTGGGTGGGGAGGGGTTTGAGGGGGGTTGGATGTTGAAACATTGCTTGAACCTTGGGAACGCTGAGAAGCAGAAAATAAAGCTTGCTGATCAATAAAAAAAAAGGGGGGATCGACTGTATTTTTATTCCGCTTCAATCAGTGGCTACACTCTATTACATAAGGCTCTATAATTATCGCTGTCATCGCAGTGGAAATTGATAGGATTTCCCTCGAGAATTTCGAGCTTCCGCAACTCTGCCAATAAATCGGAAATGACGAACTCACTAGGCAGCCACTTTGATGAACTTCCTCATGAGAGCCGAGCGCTTGGATAAGTTCGTCGCGAGGCAGATTTCCGTCGCGGCCCAATACTGCAGTTCACTGGTGCGACGAATGAAGACGTCCAGGTTTCCCGTCATCGGCTGCCCCGACAACGATTCTCCTTCCAATACTTTGTACAATAACTCGTACTGCGGAGAAAAATAAATAACTTGAATTGTGAGAAGCGTGATGCGAAAAAAGGCGAGACGCAATGATTGAATCCCATGACAATAAAGGCAACATTGAGTATCTGAGCAAAAGACCAGGTAGGTGCCTTCGCTGCAAAATCTCGTTGCAACGAACCCCCAGAGACCTGAGAAAAATTCGTTATAACCAAATTCATAGCTTTTTTTTTTTTTAGGAATGCAGGACTGCAATTTTGTGGGAAATAGGTGATGGATGATTTCAAGTGCTTCCACAGCAAATCTGTTATTTAAAAAAATGAAATACTGGATTATTTTCGAAATTTGAAAAACAATTCTCGGATTTCAGACCTTCTCTTTCTTAAATTTTTAAAATTATAACAATCTAACTGAAGTATGAGCTAAAACAACAAGAAATACAAGCGTAAGATGATAATTTATTCATGAACAAACGTATGTTCTCTGAAATAAAGCAATCATACTTTTCTTCTTAAAACAATTAACCATTTTAAAATAGTAAAATACTGTGCGGTTTATGGCCAAATAAAATTTAATTTGAGCTTCAAACTTCGGCCGCAGCCCGGCTGATTGTTGAATTTTGATCAAACTCATCAGGCAACTTAACTTTTCTGAATTTCTCTGATATATACTGTACCTTAATTTTCGCTTTAATTATATAAATGAAAACTTACGGGATGGATACACTGGAAGGCTTCCCAGTCGGTGACCGTCAGCCAGTAGGCAAGTTCCTGGGAACTCACAGACTCCAGGAAGGAACCAGTGCCGTCCATCACGCCAGGCCCCATTTGCTCCTGCAACGGCGTCTGGAAAATCGGAAACCCGTCCAACCCAGGCGTCAATTTAAGGCGAAATGCTGGCCAAGTTCAGGGCGCTGATATTGAGTGACAATGCCCCACCTCCCCCCCAATGGGATCTTCGTTTACCGCATTCGAAAAGCTTTCTTTCATCGGTATCCACTCATTCATTCATTCATTCATTCATTCACTCAGGCACTTACCAAAGCATCCAGATGCTCTTTGGGAGAGATGAACAGAGCCCCGTTCAGGCTCAATCCAGTGGCCACGCAGGTGCGACGATCTGGGATAATGATCCTCTCACCTGGAAAATGTAGAAAACCACTCACTCAATCAATTCCAGCGATCAGCCTTGATCTTCGTCAATCTTGAGAAAATGTACGAAATATCCGCTCTATACAGCCCTGACGAATCGTTTTTTTTTTTTTTATTGACAAAATTCACGAAAAGACCGCCGGATGCAATTCCCGAGCAAAAAATCTCACGAAAAATATCAACCGAGAAAATTTGAGCCACCATCCCATATTTGCGAAATTCCCGTCTTCATTGCAATTACATTGGCTATGCATAATAAAAACTTTTCAGTACAGTATACACCAAGGTTTTTAGTAAAATAAATTCAAATACTTTCACGCGTTGACTAAGCTGCACTAATTTGTGGTCCAGATTCCAGAACAACCTTCTATAGTAATAAGCTAGTTTAAAATAAATGATAATGATCGTGACAATCTCAAACCCTCAGCTCATAGATTGAGAAAAAATCGAACTCGGATATTCATAAATTCAGTATTTGTAAAAAAATATTCAGAAATTTTAAAGATTTTTTCTGCATCAAAAAATCGTATCAACGAGTGTTCGGTACTTTTGAAAAGAAAAGCTTCCGAACTTCTGAACTTGAACCGCCCTGTAATTCATTTCACATTTAATTAAGTGACATCAGCGCTGAAACAAGATTAGCTTCAAGAAGATGCTATAAAATGTTACTAAATATATGTCCTATTCTTTCAGACGATAATCGGTGCCCCGAGGGTGCCAACACGTGTCAGCCACGAGTTATAGCCCTAAATAAATAAATAAATAATTCATTGCCAGATCCTCTCAAAAATGATGAAAACTTGCGGCTACCTAGATTTTTGGTAGGATTTATCTATTTTCACAAATTCTTATACTCATCCTTGAGAGGAAGTTCAGAATACTCTATTAAAAGTTCCTGACTCCACGAAATACGATTCGAGTTTTTATAGGGTCACGTAAAAATGGGCGTCGACCAGCACTTACTGTATTTTCGGTGGAAATCTAAAAAGCATAGTCATGGAATGCTTCAAATGACCAAAAATCCCTTCTTTTATGAAGCAAAATCCATTTAAATCTAAGATACAGCTCATTTTGAGGTGGGGTATAATTAATTTAATTTTTCTAAACCTTGCTCGAAACGGAATCTCGCGAAGGTTCCCGCTGAATGTGAAGCCAGCATAAAATTGTCAGCGAAAAAAAAAGTTGACAATATTACTGCATCGAAAGAACCAAGTTTTGCTTCTCTTTTTAAATCAGCATCACAGTATAGTGTATCTCGAATTTAATCTTAAGTCACTAAGATATCTGGAGAAAACAAAAATAAACAGCTCGAGGGTCTTGAGCTTGAAAGAGTCTCACCTGTTGATTTGACCTCGACCAGGAGCAAGTCCCCTTGCTTGAGCCCAAGCTTGTCAGCAGCAGATCTTTTGATCAATGCTGCAGGTGCTTCCAGTGGGAATCTCAAAGTGCAATACGTGTGATCAGCACAATGAACCCGGAAGATCACTGCCGAAAAACCAAAAAATATTTCACCCTTTTCAATCATGTCGAAAATTCTGCAATACGGAAGCTGTTTGGCTCCAGCTTGGAACAGAATATTCATGAAAAAGCTACGGGTTCAATCAATGTGGGATGTTTCAGATGGGAAAGATATCAAGCAGAAAATTAATTTTGCGTCGTCATCTGTCTTGGACTTTTTTTTTTTCAAAATGCACTAAAATTCCGTTCCACCGAATATCTTTATAAAAAAAATCAATGCTTGAAACAAATTGGTTTTTCGAGCCCTGTCCCATAGTTACAATGCTATTTCAATTACGCTTTAACGAATTTCGGTTTAAAACGAAGCCTTTTCAAGGTTCCAAGCGATTCGTTTTAATGAAATTCTCCTGTTTCATGAATATCAGTCGGTCACCATCAACTGATCAATTTCCATGGTCCGTCGTCATAGTTACGATTTTTGCAAGGTCTATGATGTACTCTTAAGTTTAAAAAATGCTCTCGTACCTTTTGCAGAATTCTCCCACTTCTCAGTTCAATGAAAAAAATTAATGCATTTTTTGATTAGTCGAAATGATTAAGATTTCTTCGGGATTCCGAAGGAAACTTGTCCATCCGAAGTCGATGGAGAAAAGTCGAGTTATAGGTACAGTATTCCGGAATTGATCTTTTCTGATGGAGAACATTTGTGGGCTCAACAAGGAAAATATTGGAAGCAAATTCTACATAATATGTTCTTATTTCGGACTTTTACTCTTTCAAATAAAAAATAAAAAATGATATACAGACCGGATGGAGAAAGTTCTAGAGTCGCAACTCGATTACTGAAGTTACTGCGGGTCTTTGCGGAAGTTTGAAGCTACCGTTGGTCGTAAAGTTTAGTGGATATGGCTGAGCATTCCTGCTTCAATCACGAGATTAGATTTCTGGCCCAAAAAAAAAAAAAATAGATCGCATCAAAAGCAACTCAATTTTTCGCTTCCTTTCCCTGCTTTTTTTTTAGAGAGAAATCACTGAATAGTGAAATTGAAGAGGATTAAAACACGGATGGGGCATGATTTTTAATTAATAAAAAAAAAATTTCAACTTGGACCTAGAAAAATAAATCACCATTTTCTCAATTCTCTTGTCCCTTCCTTGAGTATACAATGTAACACATCCCAACCTTCAATATTAGTTCACACAACATTTTGTGATTGGAAGGGATAATAAAAGAAGGTCCAGGTTATACTGTGATTTTTTGACTTTGACGTGGGTAGATTTTTGCTAAATGAACGAGTGAAGTCGGATAAAACAAAGGGAAATGACGATGGTTTTGGTGATACATTCGTAGCCAATTTTCTTCACCCATCATCCACGACACAATACAATTAGGTGAAGGGAAAATTGTGATGTAAATTTAGTAGATTAAAAAATTAATCTAAAAAACCACGTTTTCAAAAAAAAAAAAATAACCTTAAAT